GACTGGGCGAGTATAAATAACTCGAAGACCAAACTCGTGATTGATCGGTAAAAATCCGACTGGGCGAGTATAAATAACTCGAAGACCAAACTCGTGATTGATCGGTAAAAATCCGACTGGGCGAGTATAAATAACTCGAAGACCAAACTCGTGATTGATCGGTAAAAATCCGACTGGGCGAGTATAAAATAACTCGAAGACACAAATTCATGATCGCTCGGTAAAAATCCGAACTAGGGGGAAGCAAAACTCATCAGAGAACACCCAAAATACTAAATCATTCTAGGGAGATCGGCATTTGTCTGACCCGTAGGCTTATCATGTCCCACACCTCGGCCAAAAATGCCACATCTTAGCTAGAAGAACATCTTTTTATTTCACTCTCGGAATGGTGGGCATGGGGGCTATTAGTTGGATTCATTTTAACTCAGAAAATTTTACACTCATTTTGTGAGTTGGTATTTCGCCGATCGGATTGTCGAATTTCATTGTAACAAAAAAAATTTCTCATCATTTATAGTTGGAAATTAGGCGACTTGATTTTGGTGAATTTCGACTCGGTATTTCGGTGACCCAAGGTGACTGAGTCGGATAGTTAACCGACTACTCCATTTGAAGCTTTTTAACTGGGTGAATTTTCTCACATCCCCTACCAGAGCCCGAGGAGCCACGAATTGAGATAACGAGTCAGTGAATATTCTTGGTCTGTCCCTTGCCTTAGCCATAAAAGTGTGCTCAACAAGAATCTGACTGTATGTATCGGCTGAGGATAAGCCTTCTCGCCTTGCACGCTCAAGGCTGGAGGGCTAATGTACGGTCCAGGACGAAATCCGACTAGGGGCCTCCACGAGGGACATGTCGGCCATGGCTAAGCCGACCCCCTGTCTAGCAAAGCCCTTCCGCCTTATAGGCTCAGCGCTGGAGGGCCAGTGTACGGTCCAGGTCAGATTCCGACCTGCCAACTACGTATGTCAGGCCGACTGTAGCTCTCGCCAATATGCCAGGCCGACTGTAGCTCTCGCCGATATGCCAGGCCGACTGTAGTTCTCGCCGATCACCCCTCTAAGAGTGGTTCAATTATTATTCGACTTGGTTTCTCTACTTAACCTGGTCGGTATATTTCTGATTCCTTCCGCTTACAAGAACCAACTCGGCCAATACCCGACTGTAACCTCAGTACGGGTATGGTCGGTCGGGGGCCGACACAACTCTCGCATACAGGGACTACCCGATAGTAAGGGCAAGGTCCCACTGTCCCTCACCAAATATTAGCCAGATCAAAACGGTTAAGGAAATCCCTACATTCTCGGGACCCATAAAGTCCGTAAACAAAAAATTATAAAAGAAAAAACCCTAGAGTTGAGAAGGCAGATTACACTCTTGAATACTCTGGTTTTGAGGTCTGACCTAGGAAAAAATCCTAGTGGCCGGAACACCTATAAAATTAAATTCTTCTCCAACTTAGCAAACTAATTAAAACCTGTCCCAGCAATGAACTTCCAGATGTGAAAGGTCAATTAAAGTTGTGGAAGCTGTCAGATTATATCAGCAAATTTATGTGGTTCATGATAAACCAGTTACGAAATGTCAACAAAGAATTAATTAAGGGCCACACACACTTTTCACACCATGCATTTGCTTGCCTAACTAAAATCAGGTGTCATAAGTGAGACCTTGACAGAACTCGGTGTAAAAGTACATTTTATATGTGTGCTGCATTTCATAAAAATGTTACAATTTTACAGTCTTCCCCTAGGTGGTTAAATTGGTTGTAGAAACTTCACATGTTGTTCCTTTAATTGAATCCAGGCAAAGCATTGTTTATTAATAATTAAACTGAATTCATCACAATTTTGCATGATTGTCTTGGAGTCCTATATTTGTCCCCTATAATCATGAAGACGTGTTACTTTAGTTAACCTGTTTCAAGTCAATTTCATTTGAGCATTTCAAATTGAATATTTTTTCAGGTACATCTATCGAAGCTGAAGTGCACGGTAAACGGCTGGTGAAGCTCCTAAATCATGGAGAAACATATGAAATGAATTCTCCTCACCTTTCAATTAGAATTCTTCCTGTTCCTGGGATTGATTGGGTTGGGAATGTTAATATAAGGTGCCAAGAGACTGGTCTGGTGGCTGAAATATCATACAGATCAAGTCCTTCTTTTTTAGGATTTGGGGGAAATCGTAAATTGATCAAAGGGAAGATTCTTGACACATCATTGTTCAAAGTTCTATACGAAGTTGATGGTCATTGGGATAAGTATGTATTTATTGATTTTTCTTTGGTCATGAAGAGTATATACTTGCTACTATCAAATATTAAAATAAAATCCTTAAAAGAAAACAAGAAACCATTTAATGCTAAATAATTAGTCAAGTCATTAACTATATACATTCTAGTTAACCGTTTACTAGTGACGTGATTAAATTAGGGCCTACCTTGATTTTCAAAAATTAGACTACATTAATTGCTGATCAAATTAAATTATGCAGGACTGTTAAAGTGAAGGATACAAATAGTGGAGAAGTGAGAGTGATATATGATGCGAAAGAAGTCATTTCAGGGCTCAAAACTCCTATTGTTAAGGATGAGGAGGTAATTAACTCCTGTTCTCTTTCCATTCGCTTGTTATATTTACAGATACATGACCTACAGAAGAATGTGCTCGGATAATTCATCCCGTGTAGTGAAGAGAAAAAAGATGCTCCTTTTAATAAAAATAAAAATACAAACACATCAAATTATGAAACTATTAGAATTTTTTTAATACTTGATTTTCTAATTAAACACTGTTATTCTGTACTTAATGTTCTTAAATTATTAGATGAATTTAAGTTTTTTAATTAAATCGAAAAAAAATTAAGGGTCCTTAATCTCTCAAAGTTTCTCCTAAACATGATTGTCTCTACCATTATTTAAAGATTTTGGTATACTAGATGGGTAGTTAAGAAAGCATATTTAGGTACTCTTCCACTGTTTTGGTGTACTAGAGTAATGTGGGATGTTTTTTGGAACGTGACATGAGATTGTCTTGTAAACAGAGTGTGTGGCCAACAGAATCAGCCCTTGTTTGGAGTGAGTTGAGCCAAGCTATTATGAACAAAGACTGGGAGAAAGCAAGAGAAGCAAAGCAAAGTGTGGAGGAAAGACAGAGGAAGATGTTGACAGAAAGAGACATGAAAGGAGAAGGTTGGATTCCAAAGAATTTTAGGGTGTCTTACTGTAAGGAGAGGTGGGAATGGGATTGTTCACCCACTCATAAATGGGTCCCTACTGCCCCGATCATAGCATAGCTCAGTAATTTATTGTTATGTACCGTCTCATCTAAATCTTGAATAGCCAAAATCACGGTTAGACTGCCCAGGAATTGAAATATTATGCATTTATTTCTGGTTGGACACAAAGGGGTTTTTAAGATTCATTATTTTACTCATAAAATTCATTTAAACATAAGTTATTTATTATTTTAATATCTAGTCGTGTGAAGATATTATATTTTTTAAAGCCTTTTTATTCCTATTAATTAAGATTTGAGATTGGATTTCACTTCTTTTATATTTTATATCATTTCATATGAATTTGTATTAAAAATGAGATAAATAATTCATAATCTCTTTGAAAATTTTTAAAGAGAACAATAATTGTCTTTGTCTTATATAAGTTGTGTCTTATCTTTATATAAACTTATATATATATATATATGGGGTATCTCAAGTGAAAATATAAAAATAATTAATAATAATTTGTATATTTAAATAAATGACTTAAATTAAAAGATGCTATTATGTATTATCATTATTGTAATTCTTTCTATTATTATTATTGTCATCCTTATTTTTAAAATTATCATCACCACCATTGATGTTGTTATTATCTCTATTATAGCCGCTATCACTACTGTTGCAATCGTCACCACCATCAGTGTCACAATCATTGTCACTTCCATCACCACTAATACAATCATTACCATTACATGAGCTAACCATCAACAATAACGATGGTGGTGGTGGAGACGATGGTGATGACAACATTGATGATGGTGAAAGTGCAACAATTATGACAATGATAATGATAATGATGATGGTAGTAAAAATGGTAGTAACGACAGTAATAGAAGTAATGATAACAATGATGATGATATAGTAAAAGTATGGTGAAAGTGGTAGTGGTACCAATTCTAATAACGAGAACGAGAACAATAATAACAAAGAGAACTACAACAACAATAATATGTAATAATATTTTTAATAATGATAGAAAAATTATGACAATAATAATACGTAATAATATTCATTAATCTAAACTATTTATTTTATTCTAAACGTTCTTACTATAAATTCTATGTTAACCATTTATATCCCTTTAGTCATCTTCTATATATGTCTCTGAATATATTTTTTACAGAGATAAATACTATAAATTAATTTTATAGAACATAAATAGTCATAACATATTTGTAGTGAGTGGATTTTTCTTGCCTAGTTCCTGTCCGTAAGATTGTAGGCGGGCTTCAGTTGCTTCATCACCCTCTATATGTCATGTCGGTGTCTTTTTCTTATCATGGACGAGGCTCCACGCGTTAAGTTTTCTAAGCTGTCATCTTTTTTATTCATAAGAATAGTTGTATGTATTTGTTTTAAGTTATACAAATCAATAACTAGAATATTTGTCATTGTTATTGTGAAGTTTCTCTCTCTTCATTGTTGAATTTTTTTGTATATATCATTTTTTTATTGTGAATATGCATTTCTTTTAGAGAAATTCTATTTTTTTCATAACCGCAATATTATTGCTAGAAGTAATGACTTAATGTTAGAAAAACTCTCTAACTTTTTTTTTTACACACTCTTTGGTTATTAATTAATTTTTATTTAAAATATAAAATTTGGCAAGTTTCAGTTTTTATTTTATTTTATGACTTTTATTCATGATTTTGTAATTTTTTTTCCAATAACAAGGTATACGTGTTATTACCGAAATACTCAAGTATTTAACCTTTTTTGTTTGTATATCTCTCCTAGAATGAAAAAAAAAACTGAATAAAAAAACTAATAAAGTTTAGATTTTTTGAATGTGTTTTTCAAAGAATCGTTGGATTTTTGATTTAATCAACTAGAATCGAACCGAAACCAATCGAACGATAGTGTTGTCCATAATTGCGTCTACGTGCGTGAGTGTAAGTTAAATTCTATGTTGTTCACTCTCATTCTCAAATTAGAAATGTTCTCTATCAATGTCACCTCTCTCTCTAATCTAAGTGTTCTCCTTTGTTCGTCCGCTATTCTCTCCCTCTCATCTAATAGTCCTCCTCCACCATCTGGCCTCTGCACCTTCGCCCACCACTGCCTCTCTATTCGCTTCTCTCTCACTTGAGTGCCCTCCTCTGCGGCTTTGTCGTTCTCTACCTCTGTACCTTTACGTGATTGTGTCGCGCTACCACCTTTGTTTGCTTCTCCTCTAAGAGTGAGAGTTTCTTTCTTTTGAGTCTTTTTTTCTTAAAAATTCTTTTTTTTTCTACTTTGTGAATATTAGAGAATAACACATAACTGATAGTGATTGGTTTCACTATGTGAATGTTAGAGATAATTATGATTGTATACAAAAAAAATGTAAAAAAATCGTCAAAATCAAATCACAACCTATTGATTCGATTCGATTTAGATATTTAAAAAAAAATCAAATCAAATCGAATCTCACATATTTTTGTTATTCAATTCAGATGAATTTTCAGTTAAAAATCAAACCAAACTGAACCACGAACATCCTTAATCAAAAGCTACTACTAACTCATCTCCCCCATTTATTGTCACTCTTTACCTAGCATATCTCACTTTTTCTCAAAAGAATCCGAAAGGAGTTTTATCTCCCAAAAGAAAATGAAGTAAACGTTATATGATGATAACTAACTTATCATATGATATCTCCGCTTATCATAAAATGGAATTATAATAGCATTATACTTATGATGATAACTGTTTATAATATCAAGATCTGCACTTATCATGGAACATGCATCTAAGATTGTAACTATTTTATCTTGCAACCCTCTTGTCTTAAGTTAAAGATAATTAGATAGATGGACATACATTTTCAGCAACTCACCAATTATCATATGAAGCTCGGTTAAGTTGTCCAGGTCAGTATATATATAATCTATGCAAGTCTAATCAATCTTTACTTTCAGTCAAGTCTTCTTAAAATAGAAACTATTAATTAAATCGCGGTTGATCAAAGATCAAAATACATATATAAAAAATGACACTTTAATACCCATAAAATTTATCCTCCTATATGTTTTTTAATAAAATATAGGATACATCATATTAATAGATAATATATCCATAAAAAAGTATATATTAGTAATATAATCGTCAAATTTGTCAAATCTTCTCATTTGACAAATTTCAGGGCGCTTAATCCATTTTAACTACAAATGATGAGTGTTTTTTTAGAATGCACAATATTTTGCAGGTTGGAAAATTGAATTGAAGAACACATCAAGCCGATTTTTTTCGTAAAAACCATTTATTTCTTAACCGGAAACAAAAAAAGATCTTTTGAATGCACTGGCCCACCGCTTCTTTTTTTCTTCTCTTAAATAGTATGATGCAATAGTTAATTTCTTAAATAGTACCTACCTACCCTGACCAGAATTTATGGTATCTGTTTTTGGTTAGAAGCGTAGTTATTTACAATATTTGGTATCATGGATCATGTTATCATTGCTAAGGGAGAGCGATTCGAAATTTTAATTTCAAATTTTTACTATATTCTTTAAATATATAAATATATTGTTTATTTTTAAATATCAAATTTATTTATAGATTTATTTTTAAAAAAAATTAAAATAGTAAGCCAATAAATAAAGGCTATCGGTATAAAAAGAATTACTTGACATGTAGTCATGTAGAAGGGATCAATATCCAAAATAAGAGAGAATTATGTAAATGAGTGTTTGTCATATTTGGTCAAAAAATCTATGAATGAAAAGTTTTAAAATTCCATTTATAAAACATATAAGGAAAGAGTTTCCAAATTTGACTCACAAAATATAAAGAAAAGATTTTCATATACACGTGTAAGACGTTTGAGATAATGAATGCACACGAGAAACTGAAAGTTGTGGATGATCTTACTCTAATTTTTATGTATTTTCTCGTCACTATGCATAAAGAAATAAAAAGTTATTTTTTTCAACAATTATAATATTGAAAATGGAAAGAGGAAATGGCGGGTATATATAGTGAGTTTGGTGTGGAGGGTGAGGCTGACAAGACAAAGGTTTTTTCATCCATAAAATACATGATGGTAAGTATATTCTGGTTCTCATGAAACTTCATTTCTCTGAGTGAGAAATAGTATAATATAAAAGATGAAGTGTTGTCTTTTCTTCTCAATTCTCATGTATATATGTAGGAAACAAGAATTGTGCTGGCAAAGCCATTCACGGTAGAGAGTGAATCAGATCCTCCGGACGCAAATTATAAAGCTCCAAACTTTTTGCGGCGCATACTAACTCTCTTTAAGAATGTGCGCCCAGGATCTGATGTCTCCTGCTTCAAGGCAAGTAGTTAACGTTCATTTTTATCAACGTTTCTTTCTTCCTTCTTTTTAATTAACTTTTAGTTTATGCTACGTTTTAGAAATAGGAAAGATGGTGTAAAAAAATATATGAAAGATGGAAAAGAAATAGAAATTGAGATTTTTTAGATTGTTTAACTTATTTTATTTATAAAAATTACAATGATAACAATAAAATTCAAACAAAATTATATGAATATACTACCTCAACATCTTACCACTAGGTTCATATACTGGTTTATATATATTGTTTGATTTAAAAGAAATATATATATGCATGTTTAAAATAACTTAATTTTCTTACATAAGATTATTTTTGTCTTTGCATAGTATAATTAGTCCTTAATTTTAGTTTTGGGATAATGCTTAGATCATATTCATGGATCTAAAACAAATTCTCTGTCTATTTTTTTTTATACGAAATAAAATGACAATATAAATACATGATAGTAACATTATTCTTTCATTTCCTTTTCATTTTGGACAAAAGACGTTTTAATTGGATTCATATATACAAGTAAAAATAAATTAGGTCAAGTTAGATTTTATTAAACTTGGATCTAACGTCTGTTATAAATATATGACATAAGTATGATTAAATTACTTTTTAATAAGTCTATTTTAAAAGTTGCTTTGAGCTATATATAAAAATATGTGGTTTGAACTAGAAGTTTGATTAAAACTTAACACTTGTGCTATCAACTTATTTAAAAATATATTTTATAATAAAATCACTAAATATAGCAGAAATTTATCCCATAATAAATTTATAAGCTTGATGTAAGTAACGTGCTTACATTTAAAAAGATTAAAAAAAATGTATGATTTTAATAACAACAACAAATACTAATTTATTTTTATTTAAATAAGCTACTTGTAATGCTTTATGAATGATCTAAAGTCTAACATTTTTAACAAAATAAACTTTAATAAAATTTTTGATGTGATTTATTTTCTAAAAAATATTTGAACTAACCTACCCTCATGGTTAGATTGTAGGCCTCAATCGAATAATCTGAACGATTTTCACCCGACTCACTAATATTATTGTTATATCATTGATTATTCTAGCTGATTGATGCAGCTGCCACCTGTGTTCAACATGCCGAAGTCAGAGCTTCAGTGCTATGGGGAGTGTGTATATTCCACAACATCAAACTTGCTAAGCATAATCAACAGTGGGAAGACATCAATGGATAGATTCATATCTGTTGTAGCATGGAGCATTTCTACAGTACGCCCCCTATGGTTTGGACTGGCTCCCTACAATCCCACACTTGGTGAAACTCACCATGTTTCCAAAGGAAACCTTAATGTCTTACTCGAGCAGGTACATTCTCATTTTGGCCTCAACATAGCATCATGAAATGCTTGAACATGTCATGGCCATAAATTTGTAGTGCACACGTACCCTTTTCCATTTCTTCGATTATTATTAATTATGAGTCAAAAGCTAATATATCATTTGTATGTTTTATAATTTTTTTTTGTCCAATTTTATAAGTTTAATCTGTCACCATTCATCTGATAGGTTCAATTTATCTTTTTATAAGACTTAGTCTTAGTATTTTGGAGAGTTTTAAGATTTCACCAAAAAAATTTATGAAAGAGGATTTTCAAGTTTTGCCAAAAAATTTGTAAAGAAAAATTTTCAAGTTTCAACATAAAACTTGTGAGGAAAGAGTTTTAAAATTTCATTTATAAAACTTGTGAAGAAGTGGCTTTTAAGTTTCATCCATAAAACTTGAAGATAAAATTTTGATATATATATATATATATATATAT